CATTTGAATGGTCTTCCACGATCAGGCACATAACCAAGGCACCCGGGTTAGCCACGCCATCTCTGACGGGTCTCTACAAAACCTCCTTGTAATCCGCTAGTTTGTCGCAGAGGTCGTGAGTTCGAATCCCCATGGGAGAAAAATGTACGAAGCGTGCGGGTGAAAGCGAAGTATAGCTGACAAGCTCTCGTGAGTACCAAACTTTGACGTTAGCACCATTGACGAGGGAAAGGGACGGCAGGACCCTCTCGCGAAAATAATAAAAAAATTCAGCTCGCACCCGCAAGAGGAAGGAAGGTGGGGCATGAAAAGAACTAAAAAGAAGAAAAAAGCCCTGGTGTTTACCCCCTCGTGTGTTGTTGTTGTTGTTGTTGTTGTTGTTGTTGTTGTTGTTGTTGTTCACATTAGCTCCATAGTCCACAAAAAATGGGGAGCCCGTGGTCTCAAAACTCGGCACATACGACGCCGCGGGGAAACAAAACAAAAATAGGGCACAAACCACTCGGAAAAAGAAAACAAAATGATACCCCAAGTACAGATGATGTAAACTATACATGTATCGACTTCGCCACCTCACCTGTCCCCTGCAACCCTCTCCCCCTTCCCCTTCCCCTCCCCTCTCCATGATTACCAACCATTGCCACTACCATGGGCGGATACCGACAATCACGCCATGAAATATCACCTGGATCTGTACGAGGAAGGCATCTGGTTCTTCTCTCGGTGAAGTCCAACTATACAAGATTTTTTTCCCGACGATACCGAAACCAATGTCATGTCTCGGAAACGAGGTAGAAAACGGCCTCGACCCAAACGTGCATGGGACCCAACACTAAAGTTGGGAAAATGCGCGCGGTGTATCAGAGGTCGAAACAAGCGTCAGAGAGTAAACACCAACACTGCCAGCTGCTATGGGGAAGACGCGACACCTGGCTGAACACTGCAAAGAGTAGGGGTAATATCCCTGATGGAGCGTACGAACACCAACGTAGCGGTCGGCCCTACCCCATATGGATCTCGTGCAGGGACGACAGCAACAGCGGGAGACCGCTCCCTCGCAAAAACATCGTCACTATTTACGCTATTGTTAACCTGACAAACGGTGTGAAATGTGTGGGACGCACTGTAGATAGCCCGTATGCACGCTTTGCGGGACATCTTGGAACCGGGGATAGACTGGGTGGAGCACTTGACCTTGACTGGACCCAGTTCGCCGTGTTTGAGCTGGAGACCCTACCGCGATACCTGCCTGAGGGCCACAAACCTGGTACTTTGATTCACTGGCGACAGAGAGACAACTTCTGGATTGCGCGCATGGATGTTGTCAAGAACGGTTACAACACCAAGAGGGAGATCGCCTGCCCCCCAAACCCTGGTCTACCCCCGCATGGTTTTGGTACGCGACCGACTAAACGGTCTAGACCCGAAGCACGTAAGACGCAAGCAAACGGCGGTACCCAAAAACGCATGTACGGATCACGTGACTGGAAACGACGACTTCAGTATCTTGCTGAGCTCATCAAGTTAAAGCCGTACAAGGTAGATACCTACATCAAGGCGCTAGCAACCAAAAACATNGGAGCACTTGACCTTGACTGGACCCAGTTCGCCGTGTTTGAGCTGGAGACCCTACCGCGATACCTGCCTGAGGGCCACAAACCTGGTACTTTGATTCACTGGCGACAGAGAGACAACTTCTGGATTGCGCGCATGGATGTTGTCAAGAACGGTTACAACACCAAGAGGGAGATCGCCTGCCCCCCAAACCCTGGTCTACCCCCGCATGGTTTTGGTACGCGACCGACTAAACGGTCTAGACCCGAAGCACGTAAGACGCAAGCAAACGGCGGTACCCAAAAACGCATGTACGGATCACGTGACTGGAAACGACGACTTCAGTATCTTGCTGAGCTCATCAAGTTAAAGCCGTACAAGGTAGATACCTACATCAAGGCGCTAGCAACCAAAAACATGCTACGCATGATAAGGTATGCAGGACATATTGGTATCACAGCTGAACTGCACCCAGCATTTCAAGCATAACGCCGAGCGTACCTTGCGTCTTTCCCCCCGCCGCTGATTAAACAACGAAAGGTACCCCAACTGATCGTGATTGGTTTTACGAATTCTGTCGCAGATGCCGTAGGACTTGTTTGCGGCCTACGCCACTTATTTATCGGGTGAGACTGTGTTGGTGATGTATTAACTTCACGAGAGGTCGACGACCGTCCTTCACACGGACGAAAGAGGGAGTGCTCAAGGAGCGGCTCCCACAGCAAGGAGGGGCCCCGTGAATCATCGCGGTGCCCCCTATCAAACGGTTATCTTACCAGTCTGCGTGACACAAAATCATCCAGCACATGTATCCAACAACAATGTTCGCAGACCCACGAACACCCTCCCTGGTTCTTCACGCANGTCGCTATCACAGCGAATCACAACGGCCGCATTTCTTAGAAAAGCCAAGGCGAAGTCAAGAACGCGAGGAACTACGTTCCCCCGGACGATGGTCTCCCAACGCCCCCTACTCCTGCCATTGGTACACAGACCGCAACAGTTATGCGCCTTTCCC